TTGTTAATTTCTGCAGGTAAAACAGGCATTTGTATTAGTTTCATGAGGACTAACATGTCTAATTTTGAAAACTGAGTTTATTTTGTTCCAGTATACCCAAAGACACAAGAACTTTACCTCCTAGTCTCAACATGCAAAGTTTTTCAATGACTTGATAGAATTTCATGACATAGATGAATTGAGTCAAACGTATTTGAATATAGCTTGGAACTGAAATTAGAATTCAAATTTAGCTTCAGGTACTTCCAAACTCTGTCAGTTTAAAACTCTGTAAATAAATTCAGCACGTCAGCCATGACTAATATCATACATCTTGCTGAATCTGAGTTTCAACAGCAATTAAAACAACAGTGCTGAGACAAACTGTACAGTGTGAGCCAACACTGGGCTTCCAGGCTCTCTTTACAGGAGTTACCAGGAACAGCAAAATGTTTTTTATTAACTTATTCCAAATACTCCTTTTATTCATCATCACAAAGAATATACTTGTAGTGCTCTCCAGACTTTGTATAGAAACCATGGTAACACAACTGGAAATTGAGATACCAGATTGTCTCAGTGGGTTTTGTTCAACTGACAGATTTTTTTTGGAGGCAGCTGTGTCACATTTGGTCTCATTTCAGTCATATCTCTGGATCCATATCATTACTATATAATGACCTTAGGATCCCTATCCTTCTGTACTAGTGTTAAAAGAGGAAAAAAATAGTCTTTAATGATGATTGCCAAATAGGAGTAACTTGCTATTGGAAGAATTTAATATATGTAAGTTATAAAAGAAGGCTGCTGTTTGGTTTGAAATAACAAAAAAGAGGAAGAATCATGGAGGTGGAAGAAACAAACAGAAAGGACTGGGGTTTATTATATCAGAATCACCACTATCAGCCTGGGAAGGGTTTCTGCTTCAACAGTTTTTACTGTAGCTGTAGATTCAGTCTTAAAAGTTGTTTAAATGAGGACAAGTTAGCAAGACAGTTCAGCTTACCAGATTTATTAGCAAAACTTGGTAAGATGGTGGACTTGCAAACTGTTACAAAGTCAGTGAAAAAGCCAAACAACCAGACTGGTTCCGTTTCTGTGGCTACTGGAATGAATCTGAAACTATAATTTACATTTTTTTAGAGTGTTACATCTAAGGCCTTAGGCATTATTTTAGGATGAGTGTCGTGTGTCTATGCCATGTCTTACATTAATTTGCCCAGCAAATAATTATTTGGAGTATCCTGCCACAAGAACATCTCTAACCACCAGATAGATAGCTATTTTCACACTTTTCTTCTTTGATTCAACTAATTCTTAAGTATTTTGTAAAAATGTGATTGGTTTTCATTAAGAAGTTGCAAAGAGAAGCTGATTCAAAATATCTCATAATTGTATGAAGTTCACATACAGAGGACTGTTTCAGACTGATCTTTAATCTCAGAGGCAGACACAATGTTCCTTTTACATTCTTCATATTTCTTGGTTTTAACTGTGAGATTCATTTGCACAAGAGTTGCGTTATAAGAGTAAATAAGTAAACAATCTATCTGCTATAAATGGAGACTGTGCTGATGACATGACCTTACTCATGTCAGACGGGAGATTCTTGTGGTTAATTCAAATACAGTGATGCAGTTATGAGGGATGAATGTCAGAGCAAAAGCCATCATGTGCTTCCTGAAATGTAGTGTGTGATTCATCTTGAACTGGTTGCCCTGCTCTGTGAGCTGGAGTAAGGAGTGTTTGCAGACCATTTCCCAGCCTCAGTGATGCATTTAAAATTCTGTGGATCAACCTACAACTGTAACCATTTTAACAATATGTCCAAGTACTATAAAACCCACGTAGGCTGTGGCATGTTGTTAGTTAGCACTGCCTTTTAGCACAAAACTTTTTCCTGCAAAGGAAAGCTTTCAGGTATGTTCAGGGAGATTTTTCACAAGTGTGTGTGTCAAGTATCAAATATCAAGTTTATATGTTCAAATTCAGTGGTGGGAAATACAGAATAAGTTATTTGGAGAATTGCCCAGATCTTGTAATAAACTGGAGTCCACAGAAACATTCACACATTTTCTTGGGAAAAGGTCTCTTAACAATCAAGATCCTCCTAAAGAAAAACATCTTCTCAACCCAAAGCTTCTGCATTACTGTACCAGAAACATCCATAGTCATTTGCACAAGTCAAGCTACAGGAGTGTTTGCTACAAAGCAAATGAGACACCATAAATGCAAAGTGTGGCCTGTCATGGGGGGTGTGGAAGGCTCTTGGACAAAGTTTATTTAAGAAGCCCTACCATTGAGTCATGAGGTGCAGAAAGGGTTCCCTTGCTTTCTAAACTCCTTCTCAGAGAGGAGCCAGGGTGCAGGTGGATCCAGTCTTAGCCTCAGATTTTATCAACAGTTTAAATTTAAGGAATTATGAATGTGTGAGCTCAAAGGAATTACTAATAATAGCCATATTGTTTTATGAGTTCAACACACTAAGGCAGAGTTCAAGGACCAATTAAAAATTGGATTACTAGGACAAGTGGAGGTTGAACTAGATTTAGGAAAGGTACTCAGAGCTGGGAAGCTTGGAGGGAAAGTGCCTACTTTGATTTTTGTCTCCAGCTGTTTCACTAGATATGACCTGGTGTGGCAGACACTAAACTCCTTTTTTATGGGGGGGAGGTTGCATTATCTAATTGTACATTCAGTAACTTTCTCCAAAATACAGTATGGTTTATAGTGTTTCTGTGACATTTGGAATTGTACCACAGCATGAAAAGGAGCTTCCTCAAACTTTGGATGTGTCTGTTCCAGGTGCTGAGTGGTCAGGAACACACAGAGGCAGGTAAAAAAAAGAGTTGCTGCTTTAAAATTTGCTTGACCTTTATTTCCACGCCAAAAACCCCACATATTTCTCTTTTGTTCTCTTCTTACTTGCTAACATCACTGCAGAGGACAGCATCAAGCATAGCACAGGGTGCCATTCTGATTAACTCGTGTGTCCAAATCAGAGCACACACACACACATTCAGTGGATGGTTTCACAGCCACGAACCAGGTGCCAAAATGTGACGACTTTATTAAATAGTTTCTTAGATTAATTTTTTACATAGGAAAATGTGCAGGATTTTATTTTTTTGGCAGCATCGGGATCATTGGGTTTTTTTAATTAAGAAGACATATGACATCTCACTGATGATACGTGTGCTGAACTTGTGAAAGCTGGTGAAACACTGGATTAATAGCATCTCTTCTCAATATGAAGGGAAGCCACTATTTATGAAATCCTAAATTTAAATTTCTTAGACAAGTACAGCTTATGTAGTAATCACTAAAACATAGAGTAGTGAAAGATACTAACTTCCTGTGTTTCCTGTGGTGGGCTGACCTTGGCTGTATGCCAGGTACCCAGCAAAGCTGCTCTATCACTCCTCTCCTCACAGGGGAGAGAGAAAATATAACAAAAGGCTCATCAGTGAAAGGGAGGGAGAGATCACTCACCAGTTACCATCACAGGCAAAACTGACTTGATTTGGGGAAAAATTAATTTCTTACCAATCAAATCAGAGTAGGGCAATAAGAAATAAACCCAGATCTTAAAAGACCTCTCCTATTCTTATGCTCAACTTCACTCATTTTCTCTACCTCCTCACCCTCAGGGGCACGGGGAATGGAGGCTGAAGTCAATTTGTCACATGTTGTCTCTGCTACTCCTTCCTTCTCTGGAGGAAGACTCCTCACACTCCTCCCCTGCTCCAGCATGGGGTCCTCCAGGAGGTGCCAGTGGATATTTGCGCCACCACAGAACTCCATGGGCTACAGAGGGACAGTTGCCTCACCATAGTCTGCAGTACAGGCTGCAAGGGAATCTCAGTTCCAGTGCCTGGAGCAACCTCACCCTCCTTCTGCACTGACCTTGGTGTCTGCAGGACTGTTGCTCTCACATATTCTCACTCCTCTCTCTGGCTAAAATTGCAGAGTAACTTTTCCCCTTCTTAAATCTGTTATCCTGGAGGTGCTGTCACCATCACCAATGGCCTTGGCCAACGGTGGGCCCATGCTGGAGCCAAATGGCACTGGCTCTGTTGGACATGGGGAAAGCTTCTCACAGAAGCCACTCCTGTAGCCCTCCTGCTATCAAAACCTTGCCACACAACCCAAATACAATCCTTTACACTGGACATTCCTTAGGCATCGTAAGTCATACCTTAACAAACATGCCAGTGGTGATCCATCTTCTTGAAGCTAGTCAGCTGTTTCTAGAGTTGTTTTATCCTTATCCATGCCAACACATCTTCCAGATTCTCTTCATCCCTGTTTCCCAAAACACATCTCCAAGTTCATTAATCCCTTCCTTTATCACCATTATCATCATAATCATTATTCATTCCCTCCACAGCTGTCAATCTTGGCAGGAGATAGGGAGTAGGGGAGCATTACCACTTGTCAGTGCAGTTGTAATCTATATGAAGAACTGACAAGTGTGGAATGTTGTGAGTTTTCTCAGAATTTTAGAGGTGCCGGGGAGTATTGTTGAAATACCCAGAGTCATCAGTTCCCAGTGTACACAGTACAATTTTAATATCCCTGACAGGAAATCCCACTGCACCTCCAGAAAATGGTTTTGCAGCTTGTGAACACATTAACTGTAAATTTGCAGTCAGTGATCCTATTTTTCAATTTTTTTTCTCAGTTAGCTGAACATTCTCACTACATACAAAAGTTCACAGGAAAATATTCTTCCTTCTCCTTTTCTACTACTGCCAAATCTGTTCTTTTGGCATCTGTTTCAATAAGAGTGACTGAAAAATCCTAAAAGGTTTCTATATTCTTATTGTCTATAACTTTTTCAGCCCCATTGTTGTAATATGTTTCTCCTGTTTGTAGTCCCTCCCTCTTGCGCGAATGTGAAGAGCACCAGACTGTCACCTTAGCATGAAATATGTTAAATTCCTCTTCTACTGCTTTGGTTTGGTTTTGGTTTTTTCAGTTTGGCTTTTTCTGTCCATTTCAGTGTCTCTCACTGTAGTCTATCTTGTTGCTCTCAGCAGCAGTATATTTCTCAATTAGTTTTGAAGCCTGATCCAAAGTCCATTCAATACCATTTAAATCCCTTGCATAATTTGCTGTACGTTTATGTTCCTGTTCCACAGCGACACATCCTCCACTGCTCAAAAATCATGAGT